AATCCTCCATCACTCCTTAATTAATATGTTAAAATTAGAATCGAGTTTTATCCAATTTATGGAAATTCAAGTTGAAATATACCATACTTTTAAAGCTGATGGAAATGTTTCATTAAAATCAAAACTTTTTTTTTTGGAAAATATTATGTTTAGTATTTCTTGAAACATCAATGTATTAGCTTCATTGTGGAAATGATTGCGCAGCAATAGTGATTGACTGTAAGTAGTGCGCATTGAGAAAATAACGTGCTCTCCATTTCGCCATATTCAATTTTTAGTTCCATGCATGTAATGCAATAGGAACTATTGTAATCACTTTTCACAGTTTTCCCTGTGTGTAGTGTGTGTGCATGTGTGTGTGTGTAGACATTTATGCAAATGCGAATGCGGTAAAAAAAAGTTTTCCGACATTTTGTTTTTCCTCGCGATGCGAAGTTCCACGGCAATTCAGCATGAAACTATTTTGGTTTTGCGGCAAAAAAAAAATCAACTGCTGTAGGCATAGGCATTTTGAAGAAGGCCTAACATAAAAAAAAGGTGCTTTCCACAAAAACATGAGGCCTAGGCCGAGTTTAGTTAGTGTTCGAAATAAGGAAAAACCCATAGAGCTTTTAAACAACTAGAGTGCTGACAAGATGGCGCAGCAATGCAGAGTTATGTATGTGTACCATCCGAGATGGCCGTTGTAGTAAATTGCCACCTTCAGGCTTAGTATACATATTATTACATATTAATAAGCCCTCTGACTGACTATTATTTCATTAATGATAATGAGTAATGGTAATAACAAATAATTAAACTATTGTAGCCAAAACGAGGCCAAGTGGAGCATCTTATTCAAAAGTAAAATAACAAGGAATGAAAATTAAAATCATGTACATTACACCCAAACACCGCAACGCTCGAGTTTCAAACATACGGATAACTAGCTGTACTGAACTCTCTGAGTAAATTGAGGGTGCAATTGCAAACGATGGTGCTTAGCGAAATTGGCTAAATCTATGGCAGCCATCTTGGATGGTACACACACACAGTTTTGCATATTTCGAACATCGAATACATTGCGGTTAGCGCTCTAGTATTCTTATTATATTTCTATGGGCACGCGAGTGGGCGCCTCAGTTCAAGTCTCAGCAGACCAAAACGCGAGAAAACATGTGATTCGGCGAATCCAAAATGGCCGCGCCTGTGACAACAACGCAGTAAAGTAAAGTTTGGGAGGTTTGGGTCTAAAGTTTTTTGGTTGTCCCACGGACAAGTTGCCCTATAGTTCTGGTTGTCCGTGGGACATTTTGGTTGGCTGGGACAAGCGGACAAGCCTTATTTCGAATACTGTTAGTACAGTAGTTAACTGCGATAGCGTGGTAGATCGTTTAATCAATGATATCGTGTTATCATCTAATACGTATAATACATTTAAATAATGTGTGTAAAATTTAAGAATGCACCGCGTGGGTTGCTTTCTTTGTTATGCGGTAGTATACGTAGCAGAGTGACGGCAGAAAGGCTAGGCCTAGCCTAGGGCCTAGATTGTGTACGTTCTTGATCATCGTGATGAAAACTTCGGGTGACAGACGATTGGGCCCAACTGGTGTGGACGATTGGGCCCAAGCTATTTTCAAATAAATTGTAGTCTAGTAGGCCACTGCCAGCTCCCCTACTCCCGATATCGTTCCAAACTACTGTAAAATGAAAATACTGTATACCTAGCTAGGCCTACGAAATTTTTTCAATGAAATTTTTGCTAAAAATATTACTGTAATTTGCCATTACCAATGTGGTCTAAAATCACTGTTTTGGGCCATAAAGACTCCCCCTGAATTTTTCAACCAACACACAAATTTGACCCAACCATATTTTCTGATTATGTCATTTATGATGACTTAATCAGAAAATATGGTTGGTTATGTCATGTATCATGCATAGGAACGTTGGCACCTGCAAGGCTCTGGTTTGGTAATCTAAGCCTACTGAGCATTTGGTGGTGGGGAACACATTAGACTTCAAAGGCATCGCGCAAACGTTCTTCACGCGTTGCGGCAGCTTTGTTCTAGGTTCATTTGCATAGCACTACTTGCGCGTAGCTTTTTCGAATGATCTCAATAATACCTCCATGGTTTCATGTACATCCAAGGCCTAGCCTGGAGGTTCGATAGAACCCTTTTTTCCAGAAATGCCCTTGTAAATTTAGTAAAAAATATCTGTTGTATGGAATTTGTTGAAATTGCCTGAGCTTGTACCAAGGTAGGTCCTACACTCTACCAGTCTAGCCTACTAGGGGCCTAAGCCTATGCTTGCAGTAGCTAAATTTAGCCCAACAGATAGCATGCACAGAATTTTATTATTACAATAAGGTACCAGCAAATACAAGTGAATGAAATAACTATATAATTCATTTAAAGACCGTAACTCCAGCTGTCACTCGATGACTGTTATCCATGAGTATGAAATAACGGGATCTTTATTATGTGATTTCAGTTGTATGACACAAATAAAATTCTTGGAATAAATCCACCTTAAAATGTAATATTTTTATTGTGAAAACCTATATTAACAAGGAAGCAAAGCAAACTATAGACTATAGAGGTACAGCTAGTGCAAAATCGGCAGACCAGCCTATGTATGGCATGTTGCACTAGCGCGAACTCTTGTAACACATGACACTACATGATTATACTCTCTGTAGAAGCCAAGTGTTATGTTGTAAACAAATGCAGTGGCGTGAGAGTTAGCGATCTACAAAGTAGATGAGTGATAAATCCTGGAGGATAATTTATCATTTCCAGTTAAAATTTGAACACAAAACTGATGCTTGTTAATTTAAATAATAATATTCTGTGAACTTAAATTTGCTAGTTGTGTAAACTAGATGTTTTCTATCTTTTTTATTCACGCTCTGGGGTACGATTTGACTCGCAACAGCGCAACGTTTCAGCCTGGATGTAAACAACTCAGTTGAAAACCAACAGTTATCCTTTTTTATGTGCCCAGGATGTAGTTTCGTTAACCCTAGATTGTTCAAACTCCTAGTACAACACATTTTTTTTTTATATCAGACTCGATTTTATATTTAGGCCAGCATGTAACACTGTCTTACCTTGGCATTTTTTAAAAGTAGATTTGTGATTTGTGATATCAATGTACCCACAGGATTACAATCTTTATTTGGAGAACTGATAAAATATTGATGCATCTTTAGCCTATCATCACGCCTATGTCTCAGTGTACGATCATGAAATATGATTAAATTTTTGTAAACGCACACACAGAGGAGTCACATGGCTACTACCTACATAATTTTTTTTCTAGACCCACACCTATACAGTATTATACATTGTATAATTTATATTAACTAACACTATGAACTACAGCCCTGGTATTGGAGTGAAATTTCCAGACATCTGAGGTGCTATATCATTTGAGACTTTCCCAACCATGTTAACCGGAGGTGGGGTAGACTAATAGTGCCTCCTGAGGTAGGGATGGACTCATAGTGTCTCTTGTAAAAAATTGAAGCCCCTCCCCCTCCCTTTGATATTCTATTTTCTGTTTCTCATGTTTAATCAGTTTTTGAGCTGATTATGAATTAGATTCTGGCACCATATTACAAGTATTAGTCATTCTTTGAAAGTGATACTTTGTGCTTATTTTTGTAAATAAGTATTACTTTAGTTTGTACAGGCTAGTCATTGTTTGTTTTAATACAAATAACTTGACCCTGATTGTTCTCACAAAGTTTAATTAGTCGTGTGTCCATAAAACTACTCACCAATAATGACAATTTGATATTCAAGCATTTCCAAATAACAATGACATTTGGAAACACATCCTTGGAAAAGCTGTCTCAGGAAATATTGTGTAGATAAAAATACACAATATTACCTTGTTTACTTGTAGCCTTGAACAGAAAGTAGAAGAAACAGCATATAAAATGAGAATGTAATGTAACTATGATGTGTACATTTAAAAAAAATTTCTTCATTCTAAATGACATAATTCATTTTAAGTTATACCAAATAAGTGATTGAAATATGATTATTGAATGTCATTGTTAATGTTTATACTGTAATTCAATTCTTACCATATTTATCCTTCTTTGAATAAAAGCTTTAATTTCCTCAAATATATGCCCAAGGCATTTATCTTTTTCCTAAAGTCATTCTCAGAACTTTCTATTACTGTTATACTCCAGTACAGTTACATTTTTCTAACCTTGCTGGGATTCATGAAGTCTTCATGATGATGCAATAATTATGTGTTGTAGTTCCACATTACAGTGAAATTAAGGGTTGTTTATTTGAGTATACATATCCATTTTACACCAAGAAAATTAAATGCCTCCCTCATATAAATACCTCCCTCGAATAAATGCTCACCCCCCCCTCCCCATATGAAATTTTTATTTTAAATTTTTGGGACATCCTAGTGGAGGAATTTGATGGACATAAATGTTATAAATCTTAATCCAATATCTGAAAGGTCCACTGATTAATCTCAGATAAGAAAGTATAATACATACTCCAAGTATTGAAATACACACACTTAACTGGTGCCCAACTTACTAAATAGCAAATTAGTGTCAGAGTTAGTTAATATTAATTGATTACTACTGAACACACTTAACTGGTGCCCAACTTACTAAAGTAGTGCCCACGTTATTTATAACCAATTATTATCAATTTATATAACAAATTAGTGTCAGAGTTAGCTAATATTAATTGATTACTACAGAACACACTTAACTGGTGCCCAACTTACTAAAGTAGTGCACAAGTTATCTATAATCAATTATTATCAATTTATATAACAAATTAGTGTCAGAGTTAGCTAATATTTGATGACATAATTAATGTCGAAATATTGAATCCCAACACGATGGCGTGTATTTCAATACTTGGAGTATGTGTTATACTTTCTAAATCCAATATCTGATCTTTAATAATTATTTGACAAGTGTTTATATATTCTACATTGATTATTTTTAATGATATACTTAACAGGTGTTTTGAAATTTGTGGATTTTGTATCAATCATGTCAGAGACGATGGCTCAGACGACAGAATGGGGCGCCCTCAAAACAGATGTAACTGGCTATGTAGGAATTGACACAATCCAAGAGCAAATCAGACGAAAGGCACTAAAACGAGGATTTGAATTTAATATTATGATGGTTGGTAAGTATATACCAAATAAATGTGTACCCAAAAAGGACTGTCTTTTATGTTCTTCATGTTGCCATTTGCGGTCGAGTAAATTCATGTTTGTTATGATAACTAGAATTGATTGCCAATGAAAGAGTAATCATCATATCATCCACTGGAGTTCTAATATCGGCTGATAATAAAATTCTTGCAAATCGATTTTACTGCTTTTGCATCTTTGACTTAAGAGTGTTATTACAGTTTGTCCAAATTTGACTACAATAATCGAAATGAGGCATTATTACACAACGAATAATACCACAATGTTTTGCAATTTTTGAAGAAAGATACTCAATATGATACATGGTCCCCAAGCTCTGTAACTTATTTCATCCACTTCTTTTTGTCCCGGTCTGTAGCCCAAAAATTTTGTAACAAATGCCTTCTCCAAGCAAAGAGTTCAGTAGTCATGTCTGTAACTGTTGTATTATATACATTATGCATTATATAATTACATATCATTACTTATATATTTGTTGTATAAATTGTTCTATGGAGATATTCCAAAATAAAGTGAAAATGAAAATATGCATCATGATGTCATATTGCACCCATTCCTCTATATAGATAAATCAGGTATTTGTCAAAAAACCTGATAGTGTGAACCAAACTTTGATTGGAGAAGGTAATCCACAAAGGTATAGCTCCAATCAAACAAGGAAACAACATATAAAATTCAAGTTAAAAACCAGACAAAATACAAAAATTGGCAACAAAAGTCCAATCATTATATAGTACTCATTGCAACCACAATCTGAGAATGCATCCACAAAAATGGGGACAAAAAGACATGCTTTAAAAATTTTGAAAGAAATCAGTTGTTTGTAAAGTACCTTTACACTTAAAGAGTATTGTATGCGACCTATATATCCAAATTAAACAATTTAGATTTTAACAGATGACAATATTACAAGTCTCCACTGTTTGTAAAAATAAAAGTTATAAAAAAATTTTAATTGAACAGTTTGGCAATAAAATGATTTCCAGTTTTAGAAGTGATTACTAAGTGAAAGGCCTGCTTTAGAATTATAACAATATATAATAATTGTGAATAGATCTAGTAACCTACTCAACCCTAGTCAGTAATTACTCCTCGGATAAATTCAAATACTCTTTTGTACAGTTTACCCTGAATATTTACGGAGTGAAAAGATATTGATAAATACTGACAAAGGGCATTGACCCGAAATCAGTAAATATACCGCAGAAGATTTGTGAATGAGGACAACCAATATTACAACTATGCCTAGAAACTGGTATAAACCAAGATTAAGAGGTTCTTTGAGGTATTATTGATGTTTGCTTATACTTGGATGTAATTGGAATAAGGATCTACCTTTAAACAATTATATCAGAGGTTATGGTGTTGACATGTTCTGTGATAAATATACACTCAGTTTTGTTGAAATCTAATGTATTAATGTTGTTTACACTCAGGTGTAATTGAGTAAATTCACCTTAGTTTACATGAAGTGTTAATTGTTGTTTATTGAATTTCAGGGGCAAGTGGTTTGGGTAAATCTACATTAGTGAACACACTCTTCAAAGCCAAGATTGCGAGACGTTCATGCTTACCTGAATCTAACAAAGAACCAATCATTCCAAAGACAGTAGAAGTTAAGGCGATAAGTCACGGTAAGAAATGAAGTGTAACATAGTGATTAAGGTGTTGGACTTCCAATCCCAGGGTCTAGGGTTTAATTCTAGGTATAAGTCTCAGCATTTTTTATCAACCAAGCTATTCCATTCTTCATAGTATATACATAGCATCAATGATTCCAAGTTATTAGCCTCCCCAAAGGGGTGAAGATCCGGCGAGTCTATTGTTCTTGCCTATGTTCATGTTGTCCTGTCGTCGGTGTCACTGTCATTGTTGGTCATTTGTTTATTACCACAATAACTAAAGTTTAGTAAGTCCGATAGATTTCAAACTTGCCAGAATGCAAGGTGGTAATAATATGAAAAATATGTCTATATTTTATAATACAAAATGTACATACTGTAAAAAAGAATGTGAGAGTCAAATACTACACAATTTATGGTACAGGGTATTATGAAATCAGCAACTTTGAAACCAGTGCACAGACCATTATTTTAGGACTAGAAATTGCAACTTGCAAGTGAAGTGCTGCGAAGTACAACTGCATATAAATGTTCTTCGGACAAAATTATTTATGCGAGTCAAGTGAAATAATGAATAATAAAAATATAACAAATAATATGAGACACAACCCATTGTCTATATTAGAACACTTCTCATTGGGTAACAAAGTCGTAATTTTTCATTTTTGTCAAAAAGTGTCTATAGTGGTGAATTATGGTTTAGGTTTTTTTTAATAAAGTTTCAAAAATTTCTATGTTTGTTGAAAATGTAGTTGATTACCAAAGGTTACAATTTTTATTTTGAAGACTGCATGGTCTAGGAAGTGTAAAATTTTTTAATGGGGCAAGTTTCGAAGGGCGGGTTTTCTAGGGGCGAGTTCACTGCCAAAGAGTGTTGCCAAAGTGCGAGCCAGCGTGTTATTTGATCACAAGTGCGAGACATCGCAAGCGTGAGCCAGCTAGCCATGATGTCACGACAATAGATACGAGACGTTACTCAAGTTGTGCGAGGTATCTTCTGAGATTTGTGGAGTACTATTCAAAAAGAACTATAGGTCTAATAATGAATTATTGTGATGTTAAATAGACAATGTTAGCTATCAAGGAGCGACGTTGTTTTTCATTGGGACCTTCGTCCCTTCAAGGCTAGGCCTATACCATCCTAGCTAGTCTAGGCCTAGAGTAGGATAAGGCTAGCGCGACATGCGGACGTTGGTACGTGTTGGTTCGTCTACAAACGTCGCCTAAAGTAATTGATTTTACCCGGCAGAACGAAAGAAGGAAACTTTTCAGTCGTCTTAGGCCCTTGTTTTTTGACAAAAAATGACCTTTCAGAGGTCAAATTGCTGTCAAGAAATGAATTGCTGCTTCGCAGCAATTATACCATAACCATTCCTCTAGGAAAAGGTGTGCTACATGGCAGGAACAGGATGTATACAATCCAGGTAGCACACCTGACAAAAATAAAAAGAAAACATAATCTATCAAAACATGGCATCAGTCAACATCATTCTGTCACTCAGCTTTAAGTGTATATTTCAACTTCCATTGAACCAGAATAAAATTTAGTTGGATTCGTCGGCCAACGGTCGTGCATTGAGTGCCTGGGAATGAAAACAAATTGTTGTATTTCCTAGGTTTGAACTTTTAGTGTATGATTTGTATTTAGCAAATATCTGTGATTTTATGATAGCATACTTACAGTAATGATCATATTTTTGTTTCTCCATTCTTCCAGTAATTGAAGAGAAAGGTGTAAGGTTGAAGTTAACCGTCACCGACACACCTGGATTCGGTGATCACATTAATAATGAAAACTGGTAGGTATTGTGTCAATTCAATTTGATTGCCACATCAATCAATCAAGTCAAAGTGCATTTTACTATAGTAATTTGAAATAGATTCATGATGGCACATTGTTTTCATTTTGTCAATAGGACATTTAGTGCATTTGACAATATAGTTGCTAATTTAAATCAATAAAATAAATTTGTCAATAGATTAATCATTACCTTTGTCAGTAAATTAATACATTTGTCATATTAATTATTACATTTTTCACTACATCAATTAATACAGTTAATTGGATTGGGTAGCTCATACAAATATAACATGACTATTGGGTTAAAAAACACCAATCAAAAATATCTTTAAGACAATAGTGTGTCCAATGTGATGGAAACCCCTTTAAGCATTGTAGAAAATCATCATTGTCATGTGCAGCAGGCACTCATTGCAGGACTGCATCCTATCTTGGCTGCATATCATTTTGTAGGCCTAGATTTGTGTGCAGTAACATCTGGTGCCTGGTTAATGCATCTGAACTTGGCTAAGTAACCACTTTAAATGTTTTCAAGTGGCTGAAAACAAGCCAGGGACAATGCTTACCCTCCTGACCCTCTTTATTACTAAACATGTTCAACAGGGAAATCTTGTATTTTAAGATTCCCACAATTCCACCGAATGGTGGTAGTACTGGTAATTATTTGTGGGGATATTAATTATATTGTTGTTGCTGTTGGAGTGTGAGTGTGGCACATTTGCTCACATTGCATCTGTAATCAGGGCTAATAATTATATTATCTTCTAACAGATTTTATTATCATTAGTATTTTTATTGATGTTGAAATTAATGTAATTTTTTCACTGATTGCATGTATTTAATAATCATTTTATAATAAATAATTTGTGTATGTTATAATAAGTATAATTAATATATCATAATTTAAGAGCACAGGCTTAGCCAGCGAGCTGTCCAGCCGTCTTTTGGATGGCCAACAATTATTTAAGACGTCGACTTTTACCGTGACGGCTTGAACGGCTTGGCCTAATCAACACGACCTAGCCTAAATGGCCTGGCTTACCTTAGCAAATTCTTTATATTCTTAAAATCTATCAAATGTTACATTAAACTAAAGCTAAATCATATTTACGTTTTATAAAAACAACTTTTATTGATTGAATGTATGTTGTTTTCATACCAATATTCAGTAGGAATTCCTAAAAATGTAAGGCTTAACCATTGCCTACCCAGTGAAAAGTTAACATACTTACGACACGCATCAAGCTAAAAACATTTATACCCTGCTGGAAAATGGAAGACTTGATTAGGTTCCCTGACATAATATCGTTGGTGTTCGTAATTCTCTGGTTATAATTAATTCATGAAGTACCATAAAGAAGATTTGTTGTTAATGTCACAAGTTCAATTTTGTTAGTCAACAAAATACAGTAGGTTTAGGCCTATCTCTCGATTCGGAGGACCTAGAGTAGAATTTACACTAGGATGCATCTGCATAGCCTAGAAAAATTATAACCGTAACCGTGCACAATTTATTTCTATAACTGAAATATTTTTGAATAGCTAATTCAAGACTATTCCTTTGAAAACAAAATTCCAACATTTAAACACCTTTCAAAATGCTCTCTAAAGATCAAAATTTTCTATTTTTTTCTTATGTTTGGAAGGGGGTGTGGCCCGCCCATCAGCTCAGGGCCATGCTAGGCCACGCCAAATGGCTTCCATTTTGGATGGCCTATTTCGTTTTTCTAGCTAAACCCGTTTTTAAGAGTACCACCAATACTACCTGACCATCATCATCATTTACAATTAGTTTTAAAAAAATATGTATTTATTAACAATTTTCATTATTAACATTATATATTATCATGGCAATAATTGTAATAATAATGATAATTATGACAGTGTTTACTAATTATAATTTTAATAATACCAATAAATAGTAGTGTTGCTAATGTTATTAGTATAAATATAATTTTATATATAATGTACACATGTCATTAATTCATGAAGTGGAGCTGTAGTTTGGTGGTTGAGATGCTTGATTCCCAATCCCAGGGTCCTGGGTTCAAACCCATTTTATTTTTAGACTAAAAAAACTTCACTCCTGAGCCTCAACTAGAGACTTAGTTTATAAATCATCATTCCATCCTGTAAGTGGTGAGTGTACTTGTTGTTGGATGTGAAGGAACTAAAATATATTTTATTTATAATTGAATAATAATTTATGGTGATAATATTATAATTTATGGTTATAATATTATGAGGTAATTGGTTGTACCATAAACTAAGGAAATATTAGAGAGATGGGGAATAGAAATAATAGCATTGGCTTTGCAGTGGAATTAGCACATTGGCATAGAACCACATACTGCTTTGCTGTAGGCAGTAAAAGTGAGGAAGTTGGGTTTAGCTGTGGCTACCATGAGACAGGATGTGGTGTTGATAAGGTAGTAAATTAGGCCACTTCTCCCCTCAACACACTTCCTTCACTTAATGGAAGTGAAGCCGCAGAGGCCTAGCACCTTAGGGTATGGATATGAGTAGGGCTGTAATGAACTTGCTTTCACATTACTTGTTGCGGATATCCTATGTCAGTGCTATTATTTTTAAGCATTTAAGATTAAACAGCTTTAGAACATGGCATGTTTTTTAGATTTACTTAGAATTCAAATAAAATTAATTAATTCAAAATAATAATGCAGAAAAAAAGGCTACATCTACACTCTGCAGGTGGAAAACGGCGCCGCTAGCAGCTCTACAATGAGATGGATACGTGCGCCTAATAAGATAACATTATTATTATTATTATTATATGAAGAAGTATGCAGTAGCTTGAATAATAATTGTTACTGATAGATAGTTTCATTATCATTATTATCGTCGCTGTCATTACCATCATCATCACCATCATTATCATCATCTATCATTGTTATTGTCATTTAATCATTAAAATCATTCAACATCATCATGTGTGTCGTCATATTCTCCATAGTCACCATTTTTAACTCCATGGAAATGAAATTCCAAATTGCATAATGTTAATAACATGAATGTATTTATATATACTTTTTATTTCATTTTGCCAATAACATAATTTTCAGCATGATACTGTATAAATGACATATTTTTTTCTTTTCTTTTCATTTACCAATAAGAGAGTAACCAGTCATGTAGACCTTCTTATGGTGTGTATTTCTTTCTTTTCTGTTGCATATCACAGTTGGCTTCCAATAATAGAGTACATCAATGATCAATACGAGAAGTATTTGTCGGAAGAAATTAACACAAGTCGAAAGAAACACATTCCAGATACCAGAGTACATTGCTGTCTCTACTTCATTGCACCTACTGGACACAGGTATGTATTAATCATGCAAAAATTAACATTTAATTAAAAGAAATAATGTATGCTAAGGCGAGACTTTTTTGATACCTTGTTTAGTGAACCCGCCGCCCATAAATAATGATTATTTTGAATTAAAACAAAATTTTATGTTTGGCCAATTAGTTTACCCACCTCTACAAAAAAATGGAAATGTCTGAAAAAAATTAAAGTTCTTTCTTTTTTTATTACGCTCTCTGCTGCCTTGAAATCTCCAAAGATAAGATATGTATATTTCTTCTTAATTATATAAATTTAAAGCAAACCATCTCATTACTACACTGTTTACATTTACCAATAAAATTTTATTTTTATTTTCTTCTCCGTCTTGATGTTTTTGAAAAACTATTTGCTAAATAAGAAAACAAAACTTTATTTTTATGTTATTTCCGTCCTCTAATGATCTTTAAAAAATAAGTTTGCAAAACAAGGAATAAAAAAATTCTTGCCTGATGAAGAAAAAAATAAGCATTTTGTTTGAAAAACATTATTTTGTCATATTCTGAAATTTATTTCTAGTAGCACCTTCCAAACATGTGCAGATAAATGACGTGAATGATTGGTTGCCCGTCAGTGCTACAGTTTATGCTTGGATGTGGCTCCGTCCACACTATTACATTTTATGTGACAAAAAAAGTGACATTGGCCCAAATTACGGTGTAATATGACATTATCATGCCCATATATGGGCACATCACACAAATTTGTCACAAAATTAAATAGAATTTTTCTATCAAGGGTCCAACAAGTCCAACTTGCGATCTAAACCAAAACTAGAGCCGGAATAAAATCCATGGAAGTGTTCATAGGAAGAGTTTTTATGGCTTATGGCCCAGAAATGTCCTTTTACACCACAATATTTGGGATTGGCAATCAAAATAAGATTACTTGTATTATAGGTAAATTAATGTTTTTGGTGGACAACCTGGTGGTCGCGTCAGATGACAGGGGTCCAGACCTGTCCCCTGACTCTCTACTGGTGCCGCCATTGCCAGGTACCCTATAAACTCCTGGATGAAGAGAGACAAACATTGATGGAGTTAATAGCCAAGGACCAAAGGACATGGCCTCACACAGTTGATAATGTATTAATCCATATATTATTATGATTATCATAAATCTATAAATTGTTTTTACATTTTATTCATTCAGTCACTCTTCAGACCAAAATCGAATGTTTACAAACAAGGTACATGAGCAAAGTAGTTTAAAATATTGTCAAGTACTAGTAAACACTAAACATTTTAACCTTTTTCATTGATTCAGTTTGAAACCATTGGATGTAGAGTTTATGAAACGACTTGACAAAATTGTGAACATTGTACCAGTAATAGCCAAGTCTGACACTCTAACAGTTGAAGAGAGGGAGGCTTTCAAAAAAAGAGTAAGTAAACACTTTGGAATGAGGATTAGTCATGGTGTTTGTCATGCAATTTTGTAGTGTATTCTGTAATAATCTTTAATTAAGGTGTTCAGAAAAAACCAAGAAATAAACAACAAAACTGAAAAATAAAACCCATAAAAACCAGCAGAAAAACTCAGCCATTCAGAAACCTGCTGAAAGGACAGCCAGATACTATTGATTTCACAGGTGTATGAGAATCTAGCTAGTCTATTTCCTGAATACTTATGATAAAACGACCAATTGCCACAGGCAAAATGATACCTAATGCAGACCAGTACCCTGATATAGTGCGCACCTGCAGATCTGACTCATGCAGATACAGTAGGGCATGAAGCCACATACAGTAGCTCTTTAAACAGGAGACCCCCAAATCGCCCCTGAAACAGTAAAGTCTGTAGATTGTGGAGATTGACACACTTTCGCTTGCGACAGAAGGTCCAGGCAAATCGGTAATATCCTTGGTTCCTTTGTCGTTTTTGAATAACGACAAAGTAATGAGGACAATGCTTGAGCTTGGGTGCAGTCACATGCTAGGCCAGTAAAACAGTACGATTAGTCAGTTTATCCAGGTAAGTATCTCCCTCATAGACTACCAATATCACTGCTGATCTGTGTAATCTGGTCAACATTTACGTAATAAGTTAGATTGAGTAGCATACTGTAAGATTTGAACCCCAAATTGAAAATTGAGACCATGTACCACAACCCTTGTGTGAACTGAACCCACATTTATACCTGGGGATTCCCCCATTCTAAGAAACTGATTGATCCTTATTTTTACTGGCAGCCTTATATTTTAAAGATGGCCAATTCTAAATATACACCTCATGCCTAATTCAAAGTCAATCTTTGGTTTTTGTCACTGAGCTACTCATCAAATCATACCCTTTTCTTTGATGATAGCAGCTATAATAATTCCTATACACTTTACATGTATACTCTTCTTAAATTGCCTGTAGTCAAAGGATTTTTATAATACAAAATATGTAAATCTGCTTAATCTGTTCTTATCTGTGCAAACTTCAAAAAAGTTAATTAATTTGATTAGTAATTCAGTGTTTTTATTACATTTTCATCTCATTCAGATTTTCCCACACAATTTTACTATTAAAAGTATGTCATATTATATTTTATAAGGTATTTCTGGAATGTGTGTTTTTATGGTTGATGTATTTTAAATACTTTCGTTGTAGATAAGAGATGAGCTGTCTTCGCAGGAAGTTAGCACTTACCCAATGAAGGACCTGGATGTAGATGCAGAGGACTCAGCCATCAATGCTGCCCTCAGGGTAAGTACATTTGCAACTCAATGCCTTCTAGAGGGCGGTAAAACAAAAAACTGATCAACTTTATCCTCAAAATGGCATTCTGCATTATGTATCTTTATGAGTGCTTTGGCTTTATCTTTATTTTTGGCATCTCATATTAAATTGAGGACCCATGCTTTATTGTATACCAAATATAATACTTTTTTTTTTCAAATATATGATGAATGTTATGATGAAATTTGGTATAAATGAGATGTAAAAATAAATTAGATGTAAAAATAGTAACTGTTGAAATTAGATGAATAAAGGAACACTTTAATAAATTGTTAAAATACTTAATTTTTCTTTAGTCACAACTGTGCAGAACTTAAAATTTAGCACAATACAAAATCCAGCGATTGATTGATTGAATTATCAAATTGGCTATTTAAATTTGAAGATAATTTTCAACCTGTATTTCTATTGTATTGCTTTCAGGAAAAAATGCCATTTGCTGTTGTAGGAAGTGACAAGGCACATAAAGTGGAAGGCAAGGATGTCCTTGGCAGGAAAACAAATTGGGGTCTTATTGAAGGTGAGCCCTAAATTTTCAAAACCATTTTCAAAACCATTATAGTGGTACATATATGTGAGCAACATCCTCATCAACTCTTCATTATCTTTTTCTTTTTACCTCATTGCCATTATTGTTTTCATTGTTTTTCTCATTTTATTCAACAATATCCAACAGTGACAAAGGTTGCCTTTGATATTGATCCATTGAATAAAATTATGATGAATAAAATAAGTTTTATATCTCATCATCATCATTATCATCACCATTCTTGTATCTTGATAAATTTGTGTTTTTTATATTGGTTTTAGCAGTTTTCATTTTGTCTTCATTAATTTCAGTTTTAGGCTATCTTATCATTGTTTTTTATTTACTTATATTTTCTTTTGAATTTCATGATTGTAAACAGTTTTTTTTTTTTTTTCATTTATTTTTTGCATTTACTGTATGTACCAGGGCTTCCTTGAAAAGCAGTGCTAGTCACTGAATTAAAGAAAACTTCAATAAATCATGTTATTGTCATCATCATATTACCATCATCTTATACTACAGCTATCATAAATTCCTTTTCATTATTGCCATTATAAAATGTGTGAAAGTTTTACATAACACATCATGCCAACAAGACCTCTATCACATTATCCAAACAGTGGTGTATGTAAGAGTTTTGAAAGGGGGGTTGGGGGCTGATATGGGTGCAAATGTGAAGTGGGGGCTGGAGGACTAACAGAGGGGAATTTATCTGACGAAGTATTCCATTGATACAAATTTGTTTCCCTTTTTAGTTGAGAATCGAAATCATTGCGAGTTTGCAGATTTAAGGGACATGTTGGTCAGAACTCACCTGCAGGACTTAAAAGAGGTGACGCATAGCATACACTACGAGAACTTCCGCTTTGACAGACTACAAGCCAGAAAAAACTTTGAGAAGGGTGACGCAAAGAACAAAAAAATTGACGAAAGCACTTGTTAAAGAGACTACTACGGTAATAAGTACAGTATATACTTAATTCATATGCGAGTTAAATATCTTTGTTCTTTTCTAGTAAAAATTGTCCATTTATTCATCCGGCCTGTTTCCTGCCATCTGTGTTAGAAATTGTCTCTATGATAAGAATTGTTTTGAGGAAGTTTATCATGATGAAATTTAGAATTTGAAATGTTTCTGAAAAATGTATTTATTCATTTGCAATTTACAAGCTCTGCTCCAATCTTCCATTTCAGTACATCCTTTAGATGCAGAAATTAAACACATCCACAGTGTTTTTATCAATAATAAAAGCAGTTATACTGCCTTTATGATGAATTATATTAATAATAATCATATGCTTGGTATAGTGCCCTATTGTCCAGCATTAGGATTGTTCCACCACACTTTCTCCGCAAGAAAAGTATCGAGTTGTAGATTTAGTTTCACTAGATGTAGGCCAGGTAAAAGGACAATGTATAAAGTTCTGTCCAGACTATCAAATTTTCTTTGACAAAGAACAATTTTATGCTCATATATAGTCATGATGTGCCTATATATGGTCACGTTTTTGTCAAATCATCATCTGTTTTCTGCCTACTGGCAGGTTCTCCAATTTTTTCTGTCATATGACCTATTTTTCATGATGGCTTAACTTTTATTTGTTTCCTTCAGGTCATCTAACAACCACCTCAAGGTTGCTTTCCTTCTACTGTTTCTTCAATAATATCTCTCAAAAGAAAAAATAATCTCCTCTAAGTATATCATCAGCACAAAGAAACACAAACTTTGATTCCAACCAAAAGATTGTTCAAAGAAAAATGCATTTGAAGTGAACTACTTCACAAAACTGTAAATTTCACTATTAAGATATCAAAATTTCAAATATTTTGTTACATTTGGTTAAAGATAAAGCATAAAACAATTCAAATGTTCAATTTATTTTTCTTTTCTTAACTTTAATTAACCTGTTAATTAGCATGAAATGTTTGTATCTTGTTTGTGATTATAGGCCTGCAAACTAGGCTTATCCTGTTTAAACCATTATTTTTTCTAATAGTTCCATCCTATTTTAAGAAGGGTATGCCTAGGAAAGTTATGGAATCTAATCTTTACGTCTAGCCTAACCCCAGCCATGCCTTATCTAGCCGATCACAACGATTGCAATGCCACCATGCATCTTCTGAAAGCCCACTGAAAATTTATATCCGTTCATGAAAACAAAAAAATGGCTAATTAGTCTAATTAAGTAAATACTAATTTAGTTGCACTCTTAACAATTATGTGAAAAGGTAGAGTTCAATGTACATAATAAACATATCAAAGAAAATGTTTTTTAAATATGATTTTTTAAGCTTGTGTGTCTTTGTGGTGTCGGTGACGATACCCTCAATCCATTTCTTCTTTCTATCTTTTACCATAGCTAAAATGTTCGTTAGTTTCTCTAGTACTTGTTCATGTCCACATTGCTAAAGCTTTCAGTCTGTCTATTTCATTTTTTCTCAAATATAGTTTGATAATCTGGGCAGGTCTTGTGAATGCACATTGAGTGACAGATATGTGATTTGCATCATGATGTCGTTATCACACCCATATATGGGCCAATTACTTATAAATAATGTCCACTGAGGTTAACATACTTATCTGATACTTGATATGAAGTTATCTAGCTGTGGGGATTCCTGCTTCAAAACAAATCAAGTTAATGCGATGTCATTTGACATCTGATACAATATACCTATCCCAAACTGTGCGCTAATGGTCCATTAGTATAAAGAATATGACTTTATTAGTTGTTTATGGTGAACAGTTTACAGCAGAGATAGATATTTTGGCATTGTTAAGTATAAAAAAGTGCCTCTCCTTAAGACCAATAAAATTGGATTTACTGGAATTATACAACATTAAATATAAAAATATGCTTCCATTATAAACCTCTTTGATTTATATTATTACTGTATTTTTTATTTTAATGATAATAACAATCAGATGAAGATTGTAACTATTATTATAATTTTAAGAATTTTGGATTTTCAATCAAAAGTGGTATGAACTGGACAGATATTTTTAAAACAATTTATATGAAAATTATAATCATTTAGAAATGATTGAAATATTGAGAATTATAGCATGTTGTTACATATGGCAATTAATTTTGAGTGAACAGGTAGTGAAGGTGTTTGTAATATGTAACTATGCAGACCAAATTTTGTATCCCTCTATGTATTAAATATTATATACACTATTTCATTTTATATTTAAACCTGTTTTATATCTATTCTCATTTACGCCCTTTTTTGTTATTTATTATATATAAAAATATTTTGTAATCAAAATTATTGATAATATACTTAACATGAGTACAGCCATAGATATAGAATATTTTTCTTTTTTTCATATTTGTTGTCAATTTTTGTATTGTATTATCTCCAATGCATGCACAAGTTAATTTTTAAAAATATATATTGACTGTATTGAGTCAATGAACTTAAAAATAAAATATAAAAATTTCTTAGGTTGTTTAAGTAAGTTGTTCACTTTTAAGTGAAAATTGTAAAAAGAAAATAATTTCCTACTTTTTCACAGTACATTTATTTTTTTTCTTGGTAATCAATTTAACATTTTTTATTATGTAAAAAGGCAGTGGCTATTGTTACACCAGTATTAATCCAATTTTTAATTATGATTGGATTTTTGGACAATCAGAATCAAGAATTGATTTCAGACTACAGTAACAACCAGGGGTGGCACCAGCCACATTGACAATCAGGAAATAATGGCTCCTTGATAATCTGTTTTTTCTATAAGTTCCCCAGAACTTGACTATAATTGCATATTAATAATCATTTGAAATAATTAAGCATTTCAATATATAGCTGACTCTTCGGAGTTACAATAATTTACTGTATTTGCTTTAGCTGTCCCTGACCATCGTTTTTGTTGTTTCTTGTTATTGTGTTTTTTAATGTCTATATGGTCAAATAAATAAATGAAAATGAAATGAATTAAATTTTTTGTATTTTTTGAGGGATGATTGTCAATTAAATCGGTAAGCTTAATGGCTGTCTCTTATACACATCTAGTGGGGGTGTGGTTGGGGTGCGTACAAGTAACTTCAATCATAAATAAAAAAAACTATTTTGTTTCTGTTTGGTAATGTAGCTCAGCATCAATGCATTTTTATCTTCATCAAATTAGGTGTGCAAAAGCTGGATGAATATTGTATTAAGTGTATGTAGACACATTTATGTCATATAGTTTATTAAAATTTATTATTCAATGAAACACCCAATTGGGACGCAGTAGTAAATTACTATAATTAAGATATTTGTTTTTTTCTTTTTATATCCATGTTTTAAATGAGAATATCTATCAAGGGTTGTTTCAGTTATTGTGAAAGTATTTGTCATGGCATATACATTATTATTACTTTGTCTGCAATACTTCATTGAATATTATATTTGTTATGTTGTTATTTATGCTGCAGGAGATACTAATTTTCTGTTGTGCATATCATTTGGTGCATTTTTATGTTGGCTTAATTTATAATGGCTTCAGAAATAAATGTAACCGAATAATGTAATTTAGTTTTTGTTGTTATCAATCAATCGGTCTCGGAGTAGCCATAATGATTACCATAATTATCACATTTGTTTATTGTTTGTTTGTTTATTATTTATTGCCCTCATTATTATAATATCAAAACAAAAAAACAAGTACATAAATACACACAAAAATGAGAGCAAGAGGATAACCCTATAAGCTCTATGAGCTTGTTTCCATAGGGGTCCTTGACCAATAAAAAGAGAAGCAAATATAAAAAAAAAAATTATGTTTTTATTAAATGTTTTTAAAGTAAATATTTAAATGTATTATGATTTTTAATTTCCTTTAAACTATTTTGCAATTCATTCCATTTTTTTTATTCCATTATAGTAAAACGTCTTATAAACTTGATGAGAAATTTTTGGAAACATAAAATTTTTTGTTACACCTCATGTTTTATAATTATGATTAAATAAAATGAAATTTACATCAAGACAAGTTAAGTTATTGTATACTTTGTGCATAAGGTTAAGTGTTAATTGTTGAGCCTGTCTATTAATATTTAAAATTCCCAATGACAGGAAATCTGCCATACTCAGATGATATCTACTATTAACCCCCAATATAAATCTTAATAGGCCCCTATTTTATTTTGACATCGTAACGTATCTCTAAGAGTGTTCGGAATTCCCCAATACCAGCTAGTTATTGCATAGTCAAAGAGACTAAAAGCAAGGGCCGACATAATAATTTTTTTACTATCCATATCCAAAAAACGAACCTGACGGTATCCAAATTTTGATCGATTATTAACTTTATCTATTATGCTATTAACAATAAATGTACCTTTAAGTTCCTGGTCAAGTTCTAATCCTAAATAAGTTACAGATTTTTGTGACTTAATAATGACATTCTTGTATTGGATCTTAAAATTTTCTGTTGCTTTTACAACTTTCCTATTGCCAAATACAATTCAGTTTTTTCAGGGGGGAGGGAAAGTTGGTTATCGACGAGCCAATTATCGCAGGATTCGAGGTTTTTGTACAATGAAGTGCTAATGTCTTCAAGATTTTTACTTGAAACAACGAGAGCCGAGTCGTCGGCGAATTGGACAAGAAAGCAATCGACTGCAGAGGACATGTTAATAACAGAGAAATAGCAATGGCCCCAGGATACTACCCTGGGGCACACCACAATCCAGTCTGAGGGCTTTTGACTCTTTCCCATCCACACATACTACTTGAGTCCTATTCTTAAAATAAGATCTGAACCAATTAAGTGAATTATGATTAGCTAATTTAGCAAGTTTTTAAAACAATATTTGGTGATTAACACAATTAAAAGCCTTTTTTATATCCAATAAGATCATTCCGGTAAGCAACCCTTTATCTGTCTGTTTTCTGATATGATCAATTAAGAAAGTAAGACATGTATTGGTTGAATGGAGGTTTCTAAAGCCTGATTGTAAATACTGAGTTGTAAATATACATAACCCTTTCTAGAACCTTGGAAGTAACAGGCAAAATACTCACTGGTCTGTAATTAGACACCTCAAGTCTACTTGTCTTTTTAAATAAAGGTTTTACCCTTGCAGACTTCATTTTATCAGGAAAACAGCCAGGTTCAAAGGAATAGTTTACAAATAATATCACATGAATCTCTCATGAACTTCGCAGGTAATCCATCAGGACCAGTGCTCTTTCGTTCATTGGAATTGCATATTCTCATTTATTGGTTGCAAAGAAAACGAAAGACCTTCAATCGCAACATCCTGATAAAAATTTAGAAATATATCAGAATCAGTAGAATACTTATTTGTGGGCTCAGGCAGATCATTTACAAGCGTAGAGGCTATTCCTGTAAAAAAACGAATTAAAACAGTTACTAATAATATCTTTATCACTACATAAGGTGTCATCAATTTTAAGAAAAATATTTGAGTCATTTGAATTATCTTTACAACCTAAATTCGATATTATTTTCCAAAGTTTTTTAGAGTTATTTCTGTTGTTTCTTATTTCTCTAATAATGTATTCTTCCTTTGCTGACTTCACAAGACGTTGAACTTTATTTCGTAATGCGCAACATTGTTTGCGAACTTCTCGGTCGTCACTTGATTTTAGCTTCGAAAAATCCCTCTCTTTGATCAAATCAAGGATATCAGTAGTCATCCAAGGATCTGAAGAATGTCTAATCCTAACTACTTTAATTGGTGCAACTTATCCAATGCTGCATTAAATATTACACAAAACTGATCTTATGCATCATTAACCGATTCGGAGTGGTAGACACTGTCCCAGTTCGATTCTTCAAGCAATTTAGCAAACCTTTCCTTTTCATACGATCTGGTTGATCTAAGTTGAACAGTTTTATGCTTGTTATATTTCTTGGTTTTTATTCTACGAATACCATAAATCCAGTTGGTAGACAGCCGTAGTCAGAAATTCTATCAGTGCTACACTAGAAAATATGGTCTATTGTTGACTTTTAGTTAATACCAATTCTGGTGGGACTAGTCGGGAGTAACCTAAAACCATGGGACTTTAACATGTTGTTATATTTAATAAAGTTTTGAGTCTTTCTTTATGGCACACATGTTAGTATCTTCCATTACATAACATTCAGAGTTTTGCGTTATTTGTTCAAGAGCCTGATCTAACAGGCTTATAAAAACTCAATGAGACTGTTTCTGAAGACCTATAACACACTCCAATGATGATAGGTTTCGTTCTTGGCAAGGAGAGTTTAATCCAAACTGCTTCCAGATCTGGCACATCTAGATCAGTTCGATGTATGTATGTGAAGGACGACTCTCTTATGTAAGTACAGACGCCACCACCGGATCTATTTCTGTCTTTTCTTAGGATCTTAAAACCTGGGATATTTACTTCTTGGTCCGAAATTGAGGAATCCAACCACGACTCAGATATAGCGATGAGAGCTACTTTTGTCTGCATAGCAACACACTTCAACTCAGGAACTTTCGGTAACAATGATCTTGTATTGCTATGAAAAAATGGAATTCCTTTTTGTTTCAATCGTTCATATTAAATCATGCATCCATTTTGATTCTCGAATTGATGGTCCTCAGGAGCATCATTTATTTCGGTGAAATAACTATCATCCAGGTTTGGTAATGCACAAGCAACACAGGTCCAATCACCACTTTCCCTAATATACCTCTTAAAATAACTTGTTATTATTTTTATTTTATTTTAAATTTTCAATTGTACAACCATACCTTTTCACTGTCATTTTTATTCAGATATAAAAAAATATACAAAATACAATAAAATAGATTTAAATAATTGCAGTACATTAGAGATAGACCTGACGAAAAGGAATACTGTATAGATGAATAAAGCTCTCTAGGATACACCCTTACAATGGGATGACAGGAGAAGAAAAAATAAAACCAAACATACAGAACATATTGCAACATTGCTCAATTATAATAATAATAATAATTGTCGACTTATATAGCGCATATTGTAGGGACCTCTATGCGCTTACATTATTACCCCCGGATCACTCACTGGATCATACACACACTCAAACCCCATGGGGGAATTCCATAATGTTGCAGATGTATTCAGCACAGGCTATGCTTGAACCTACCAGGTACCCACTTGTACTCCTGGGTGGAGAGAGACAACTGTAGATAAAGTGCCTTTCCCAAGGACACAAGCGACTTGCACAGAAAGAGTTTCGAACCCCCGACCTCAAGGTTGGGAGTCCAAGCCACAACCGATGCGCCAACCACTTCTACATGGACGTAATATAAATCGTTCTATCGCGGGTAGTATCGAAGGAAGTATTAAAAGAACATTCTAAGGTATAACCATGTAGTTTTTTACTTTATCTTGTCGGGAATAAGATGTTCTTGGGGAAGGAGATTGGGAATGGGCAGATCAAGCCTGTTAAGAAAGGGGTGGGAGTTTTGGGGCCCACTCCAGGGTGCAAGGAGTGAAACGCTTGAATGTCTAATACCTTAAATTTGAGGCATTTGATTGATTCTATTTTTTTTCTCTGATATGCTTTACAAGAAATCGTTTTACACAAAAAAGCGGTAGGAGCATACACCCCTCATCCCCTCAAAATCCACCACTTTGTGGGGATACTTAAGCAGGGAATGTTGAACAGAGGAAGTTGTCTGTGGCGCTGTCTAAAAGGTCTTAAAAATTAAGTGAGGGAAATTTAAAAGCATTTGGAAAGAGGCAATTCAAAATATTGTTATGCTGCCATGTGAAGTGCCCCGGTTCAGGAAATGTGGGAAGAAATTTAAAATGTAGCAGTGTTTCTGTTATTGCAGCCTGTGGTACCAGCGTAGGTGGGAGTGTTCAGGGCGTAATGGCTATGAGCTTCTCTCACTGGCTAAAGCCAGCAAATTCAATTTTTTCCCTTTTTTTTTTTTTTTAATAATATACCGTAACAACCAAGGTCCTTTTTCAGGCATAAT